CTTCCGTGCCGACGACGTCCGTGGTCCGGGTGACTCCACTGCATTGAGTCGGCTCCGGTGGGATGACGACCGGAGCCCCCGCCGTGCCGGTTTTACGGAGGGGTGTTAGCTGTCGGAGGAGGCTCGGGGGTTTAGGGACCTTCGGGGTTCGGTTTCCGACGTAACTTGCTGAATGAGATGCGTAACATGTGCTTCTACTTTTTTTTATTTTTTTTATTTTTTTTGAGGTATCGGGCAGCTATACCGCATAGCGATTTTATGTTGTTTGCCTGTAGGTATAAGTAGTTAAGACTTCCCAATGGTACATGGACTTTGGTTCTGAGTAGCCCTCAGCAGAGTCAACTGCCTACCTTGGATAGATCAGGAATAAACATTGAGATGTACATGTGTCTGAGACGGAATGGGAAAAAAGCTGATGTACGGGGGGGATGGGCTAAAAAGAAGACTCTACGCTTTCTCTGCAGGTTGCCCAATGGTTAGGCGAGCAGCCCTTCGGTGACGCCGTCCATAGTGAAGCGCTTTGCCCTATTTATAAAGCACTACTGGAGCTCTCAAGACTCTGCAGCGATCCCATATCATCATATAAAAATGATACGAAAGGTAAAACTCGATAGAGGTATCGGGACAGGGGGGAAATTGCTTGGCGTGAGACGGTTGAGACACAGTGTTGTTCCTAGCTTTGACTAAACTTTATTTGACTTTTCTGGGATACTAAAGAAATACCTAATAGCCAAATTAATGAGACGATTCACAGTTTTGAAAGATCAACTGGTGCCCCAAACTCTCACCATGGCCCATTGGCCGTTTAGCTGTACCGGTTTTTACGAGAACCACAAAGTAGAAAAACTTTTGGCGAGGACACAGAGAAATGAGATTGTAGAGACTGAAATGGTTCGTAGAGTAAGATGATTACGGCGTGTAATCTAACTAGGCTCAACTCAAAAGCCAACTCAAAGGCTTAAGCATCGTTTACGGGAAACCGCTCCTTTTGGGTACCTACCGTACCTACTTGTACCAACCACGCAACGGTCGAGGTTATTATGTATAAATTGGGCCACGATTGTAGCAAATAGAACTATTTTACTCCAGCTCCACTCACTAACTCATTCAAAGCATCATCCAATTTTCTCAACCTGACTCTACCCGCGTAACTACGCACGGCAGACTCACTTACAACTTCACCAAACGGCACCACATCGCCCACCATGCAGTTCTCCGTCTTCACCATCCTCCCCCTCCTCCTCTCTTCCGCCGCCGCGGCAGCCCTAGACACTGCAGAAGTCCGAGAAGCCCGTTCTCTCGACCAATCCTCCTCACCTAACAATGTCGGCGGTGGCCTGTTGCCCAAGAGAGTCGAGTGTGACTGTTGCAGAGCGCTGGGGCCCGGGTATTGCTGGCACCAGAAGGCGAATGGTGATAAATACGTGAGTTTTTCTCGTTGGTATATTTGCTTCTGCTTTTGAGTTTAGCTGCTTGGGAATGATGTATCGCTAATCGTTGGGTGTTGTAGTGTTCTGCTTGTATTGTAGATGTTTGTCAGAAGAGGTGTACGTGAGAGGTTCTGTGCGTGATGTGTAGCCGTGGAGGAAGGAATGGGGGGCGGGCGTGTTGTTAGTATGGCATTGATGATATTTAAAATATTAGACGAATAGCCATGCCGACATCTACTAGATATAACAAAAGCTAAAAAACAGTTCCACCCCCTCCCCCCGGTGCTGAATTGGGGGCTACATCTCTTGGTGCTCATGCTGGCATTCGAACTCGGGAACTCGTAGCCTATCGTCGAGTAGGCCGTGGGCGTAATTTCATTGTTGACCGCGAACCACTCCACCACCCAGCCAGTTTGTCCTGACCCCCCGACCTAGAGGGGCGCCTGCTGTTGCTGGTGACGGGAATGGACTCGAGGGGGGGGGGGGTAATATAGGCTTCTTCCTATGTGTATTCTACATATTCAGGGGGTGGAGAAGTTATCGGATGAAGGCTCGGTGAGGCAGGGGGACGGTCGGCGTTGTCAGAGTCTTTTCACGTGAGCAGAGCTGGCTGACAGATAAGAGCATCTGGAAAGTAGATTGAGTGTATTCATGGCGTTGGTACAAGTAAAGCATGTCAGTGCGATCTAGTCATCGATACATGTCTAGTTCTTATACAATTCTAGTCTCGTGCGATGCGGACTTGTTTACATCTAAAATACAATGGCTAGTACACGTTCCTCACGCATGGTCATCCTTGATGCCCCAGCTACCCACCAAAGCCATGGCCTTATCGTCGCCCTTGGCGAGACGGTCGTCCTGGAGGGTGTCCGCCAGACATTGCCACGGGTCCCGGCTGCCTCCCCACTTCAAGAGGTTCTCCTTGAGCCGCTCGCCGTTCTCCCGGTTGAGAGCCTTGCCGTCGGCGCCGGCGGAGAAGACGACGCGCCAGACCCGCTCGGCGAGGACGCGGTCAAAGACGTAGCTGTAGTAGGTGCTGCCGTACCCGTGCAGGTGGCCAAAGAAGCCCTGCCAGCACGTGCCGGCGGGGTCGGCGCCGCCTTGGGAGAACTGCTTCTGCAGGCCGTGGTAGACCTGCGTGGAGTTGAAGGACGGATCGGCGACCTCAGGGCTGTGGTATGACTGGTCGAGCAGGGAGAGGAGGATCTGGTTCTCCGTGTCGATGCCCTCGAAGCGCTTCGCTAGGCGGATCCGCTCGGCAACCATCTGGTACGGCAAGGGCTCGTCCGTCTTCCAGTGGCGGGCGAAGAGGCCCAGCACAGATGGGTCTGCGGCGAAGTGCTCCATCAGCGTGGACGGGAGCTCGGCAAAGTCGGTAGCACATCTCGTGCCGGACACGTTCTGGAGCTTGGTGCGAGCGAGGATGGAGTGGATCGCGTGGCCCATTTCGTGGAACAAAGTCTCGACCTGGTAGTATGACAGGAGCGCCGGGGCGGAGCTCTTCGCATCGTGCTTGGGGAAATCGCAGACCAGGGCAATGGTGGGCAGCTGCATCAGGACACCATCTTGTTGCAAGCTCTCCATGCCGTCGTTCGCGGCTTGCTCGGGTCTCTCAAACTTGGGCATGTCAGAGGTGGCGTTGTGGAGGTCTTCCGCAGCCTCTTGGACTTCGTAAGGGGCAATGGCTCGGGAACAGCGCACTGTGAAGTGAGCGGGGTTGGGCGACTTGTCCTCTCTGTAGAACAAGTCGCAGTACAGAACGGCGATGAGATCGCCTGTGTCCGTCACAACATCTAGACGCCGCACATCCTCGTGCCAAGTCTCGCCGGGCTGTGACTCCTTTGGCCTAAACTGGATACCGTAGAGACGAGTGAACAGTCTCGACATGCCCTGCATGACGGTACCGATGGAGAAGAAAGAAGGGAGGTGATCGGGATGACGGACCGGCAGACTCATCTCGGACCGCACGCCGTCCATGAGGAAATCCTTGTCCCACGGCTGGACTTGCGTAGCGGTGCTGTCTAGTCGGGTCTGCTTCAACTTCAAGAGGTCCGACATCTCCTCGCGAACAATAGGGGTATTGTACTTTTGCAGCGCATGAAGAAACTGCATCACAGCGCTAGGAGACTTTGCCATCATTCTGTCTTTCAGAGAAAGATGAGCGTAGCTCGAGAATCCCGCCAGATTCGCCAGCTCGGAGCGCAGCTTGAGCATCGTCTCGAGCAGACCAACTGTCTGCTTCGAAGCGGTGCGCATGGCGGTGTACACCTCCTTCCGCGTCCCCTCGTCCTTGACGCTCCGGAGCGCGGCCTGGGCTTCAGGGCCGGTGGTGGGGAGGCGCAACTTGCCCCTCATTGTGAGCGCTCGAGCGATCCCGGGGTATAAGCCGTAGAAGCTCGATGAAGGAAGCACAACCTCCCGTTTTGCAGGCTGCATGTCTGAGACGAACATGGATCCGACCTCGCTTATCTGCTGCGAGAGGTCGACGAAGCGATCCCGCTCCTGCTGTGGCAAGTCGACGGCCGACTTGGTGAAGTCCAGCTTGAGAATTTCTGCGACTGTCCTCTCCTCCTCTGACCATGCCGCGACTACTTCAGGCTGTTCCATAGCCTTGACCAATTGGTCACTCAGCCCGGTCATGGTGTTCAACTGGTTCATATACTGATAGACCAGCGACCAAGCTCCGGCTGCTGCTTGTTGGAATCTGGGGTCTGGGTGTGTCATTCTGACAAAGTCGGAGAGATCGAGGACTCGGCAGAGAAGGTCGCTTAGACGGTCAAGGTCCTTGACGACGGCCTGGTATTCGGACACACTCGACGCATGAAGGACTCGGTGGACAATCTTCTGCGCCTTGTCCAAGCTCTTGCGGGCAAATACGTAAAAGCCATTCGGGCTGGTGAGGTAACGGTTCTTGAAGAGACCAACACTTGGGCCAGCCGCCTTGAAGGCCTTGGATACTCGGTCGGGGGAGTCGAAGAGCTCGCGGAGAATCGCATCGTCGGTATTCCTTCCCGGAAGTGAGTGGTCGGCCGTGATGCTCGAGGGAGCGGCGCCGGACACTGCGGCTATCCACCGGCGTTGTTGGCCTCGGGAAGCTTGCCGAACGCATTGTGTGCAGACCCAGAGGCCGCGAGTTGAAGATTTGATCATTATGAGATATTCGTCGATGGCACCAACATAACTACCAGTCGGCCAGTCAGGGCGGAAATTCTAGTAAAACATGTAGCAAGAAAGATGAGGGTGGTTGTAAATGCGACCAAGGGCCGTGACCAAGGGAATGCTTCTGGATAGGGAGAATTAATGGGAATGAGATAAACCAATCGATAGGCCGTAGCCGGGATGGCATCCGGACTGACGGCGGGAGTAATTTTTTGTGCAAGGGTGTGCAGTGCTGCCAGTCATACCAGGCCAGCCAGTGCATAATCGAATTCCCGAGCTCCGGAAATAGCCGCACCAGCGTCCAGTGGGCCTGGCGTTAGGTGCTTGCAAGCACAAGCATCATTCCGTGACATCCAAATAATTCTCGCGAGACCAAGACCCAATTCCCTCAATCGACCAATTGAGCGGACCATGGCTGCTAGAGTGTTGCTACAACGGGTAAATTTTTCTTGCCAATCGACTGCTAATCGAAGTCACAACTAATATGAGATCCATAGCGCGCCGCGCCGTTAGCAGCGACGGTTATGCTGGGAGGATTCGCCCTGGCACCCCGAACTGCCTACGCTGAAGCTCCCGAGAGCAGCCACGTACGTCCGCAGTCGACTCGCCGCACCTAGATAGTAGCGTACCTAACAATTCTGCAGTCCAAGAAGCCCATCTACGACGACCCGGAGCTCCCCGCGACGAGCGGCACCCTCCCTCCTCCGATCCCCCGGGCCGAGCAGCCTCCCCAGGCCGAAGAACCCAAGTCGCGAGGACCTACCCCTACCGACCGCCTCGCCGTCCAGATCGGCAAGGCGCGCCTTGCCCTGTACCAGTACGCCGTCGGTGCCGAGGACGCCGTCAACCGGACGATGGACAAGGCCTTCAACCTAGAGCAGTCCTTCACGGGCACGATCGCATCCCTCGCCCCGCCCCGCGAGAGCGGCGAGAAGCTGATGCCCGGTGCCATCTACGTCCTGGTCGCCGCCATGGCCGGCAGCATCGTAACCCGCAACCGCAGCATCGTCCTACGCGCCACGGCGCCCCTGGCTTTCGGTATCACTGCGGGTTGGACCGTCCTGCCCATCACCATGGGCAACGTCTCCAACCTCACCTGGAAGTACGAGCAGCGTTTCCCCGTTATTGCGCAGGGCCACCTCAAGCTTCGCGAGAGCATCGAGAACAGCTGGAGGATGGCGAGGCTCCACAGCGAGATTGGTGTACGATATGTTGATGAGAAGGTCACGGATGCCCGGGAAACCGTCGAGGACTGGGTGAAGAAGGGCAAATAAAGGAAGCGTGGAACTGTACCATAGAAGCGAACAGAGTCGCTACCATCGGTTCCTTTTGTAATTGACATATTTCATCAGCTCGATGCTTGTCTTCAGAGCAAAGCAAATCAAGGTGGGTGGGCATTATTCAATGCCTTGTGTGTATAAAAGTCGTATTTGGGTTCTATATCCCTCAATTCCATTAATCTGGCTCTGTCAATGAAGAACCCAGAATGCCGCTATGCTTTTTGTTACCAATATACCCAAACTCCTATCTATGTAAATGAACCCGGTTTGAGAGTGATATGTGATGTATCTCAAGTTTGCAGAGCAGCAGGTGACGGTTGCGTCGGCTGTGTTTCCTTGGGTGCGCCGACACCTCTTTGAGACTTGCTTCGAGGGGCCTGAGCAGCCCTGCTCTCGCCCATCTTGCCGCCGGCCGCCATGGCGGTTGTATTAGGCTTCTTTCCGCCCTTGCCAGGCCCCTTTTCCGGGTCGACGCCCTTGTTAAGATCAGTCTGTTGGGCAAGCTCGATGAGATTCTCGAGCCCGAGTGCGCGGCAGATCTGAGTGTAGCTCTTGCACTGATTCATCTTTTGGTATGTCACACTCTTGCCCGGGACAATCTGACAAAGCAGATATTTTGTGTTGCCGTACTTGTTGTCGACCTCGAGCGCGTACTTGACGTATGTCGCCGCTACCTGCTCCCAGGACGCCAGACCTCCGTCTGCTTCCGCCCTGAAGCAGCTCGAGTTTGCCTCAGCTGCAGTGGCAATCATCGCGCCGTCGACTCCAAACTCCTTGATCAGGTCGACCGCTTGGTCTCGGCTCTCGACGTCACCGTTCATAATGCAAGCAACACCCGCCTCGTGGCATACTTCCGCGACCATGCGAAGCTGCTCACGGATGGCACGCTCTCTGGGACGCATCGGAGTTGTGCGGCAGTGGATCGTGAGGCCAGTGATACCAGTGGCGCAGAGCTTGCGCACGAGGGCTTCGGTCTGTTCGGGTGTGTCCAGGAGGCGAATTTTAACGCTGATTCCAATCTCGAATTCTGGCATAATGTTCGCGACTAGAGCCTCCAGGATTGCGACAAGCTTGTCTGGCGTCTTCAAAAGAGCAGCGCCCATTCCGCCGCTGAGACTGAACGGCTTCGGGCAACCTGCGTTCACGTCGATGCCGGCGACATCACCCGCCACGAGCCTAGCCGCCTGCACTGCCAAGTCCGGGTCTGCCGTTCCGATCTGGAAGATGAGCTTCCCCGCCTCTTTCTCCGGGTGTGTGCTGAAAATCATCGCCTCGGGCATGTGCTTTGGAGGGTTCTTATGACCGAACGAAGGGATCTTGGTAAAGTCGATCGTGTTGGTGACGGGGTTCACTCTGCGCGTCGTGCCGATCATGGCTTTGTCGACGGTCTCGGGGCCTGTTGGACTTGTCAGCGCGATTCCTTGAATGCTCCTCATACTTTTGCAACTTACCCCAGACTAAGTCTGCGCCATAGTGTAAGGCCAGGAGGCGAGAGGGAAGTTCGCCGGAGCGAACCATGGGCGCAAGGACGAGCTTGCCCCTATAGTCCACCCCACGACGAGGGATGGGGACTTTCTTGATTTCTGAACCCATTGTCTTGAGCAGCGTGCGGAAGGACATGGCCAGAGGGAAAAGTCAAGCTACATGGCCTTGAACAAAAGAAATGGGAATGGTCGGCGCAATCCGATGGTTGACTCCTTCGGCGATGCCCTGACGGGCTAGAGTGCATAATGGAGAAAAGTGTCAATGTATCTTATCGATAAGCAAGTACCGGGGTGTGGCGTTCGAGTGAACAAGTAAGGAGGATCACAGACCGAGGAACCTACCAACCATAAAGTGTGTGAGATGCCACGAATTCCATCCTTCTACGGAAAATCTGCCACCAGATGTCCCGAATTACTATCTTGCCTAGTGCGGGCCACTTGATGTTTTGAGTGCTTCTGCTTGCGTTACTCGAGAAAGGTACTTGGCTGCTGGCAGTTCTCTAGACTATTCAACTTGGTGTCGCTTAGCCAACTGAATGCGATATGGGCACTGCTTTTGCCTGTCAAATGCCGCCCTCGACTTGAGACCATTGCATCCAGCGAGCCACTTTGATAATTCGATATTTGAAATACTGGATTAGAGAAGTTGTTCTGTTTTGGAGTTTCTGAATAACAATGCAGAAATGTTCTATCAAAGTTTCATTCGTAATTTGTTGTTGGGGATTTTGACCATCTCACTTACAAAACCGAGGCAACAAACTTCCCGCTTGATCATAACAAGTTGCGTCTTACAGCTAAGCATTTTGGAGGTTGTGTTCTAGAAGAAAACTCAACGAATATCAGCTACACGAGCACCAAGTGGGTTCACTCTGGTAGGAAGACACTCGAGTCTTTTGGATGGGTAGCACTCACACACAAGACAGAGGTACCTTCGGAGGTTGAAATCACAATCAACTCAAATAGGCACTGTTTGGAAGCCTTGACCATGTCATATATCTGAACAATTCAGGCATCTCCTTGGGTTGAGACTTGAAAGACATCTGATAGAGACCTTGACACTATGGAGGGGTAACTGAGGGGCAAAGTTGCAGGGGTACATCGGCAAGCTCCAGCCACGGTGAGGCTAGTGAAGAATTTTCTGAAGGCTGCGTTGTCGGCAGGTTGCTGTCGCGACAAAAACATACTGATTGATTCTCCCGGTTTCTTCCTTGCCCCGTCCTAACCAGCAGCAATTGCCTTTACCTAGCCTCTGCAGCCCCGATAGCCGCCAGTACCTCAAACAACGGAACCCAGAGAAAGACCCATCCAGCATCCATCCTGTTCGAACGGCAGCAATTCAGCCACGGCTACAACTCTTAGCGTCTTGCGCAACACTCACCCTCTTTTTGCCATTGAACCTCGGATGAGACCGAAATAGTCTTACCGCAATTGCTGAAGAGTCCTCTGTTGTGTGATATAACTCTAAACGCCACACGCCGAATTCCCCTTTGATCACCCTTTCTTCTACTCTCCTTTGACCGATTTCCCTTCGGCCCGGCCCCAAGGTCACTTTGTATACTACACTACCTACACACATGCCGCTGCTACGAGGCATTAAGCTGCAGCTCCCGTCCCTCCGCAAGACAACTGTCAGCTCTGTCAGCTCATTCACCCCCGTATCCGCACTGCCTCTGCCTCTGCCTTCCACCGCCTGTATTGGTACTGGTCGCCGCGCACTCAGTTTTCGCGTGCCTTCCACCCGACCCAGCCCCGTTTCCACACTCACTCGTCGACCCCCGATTCAGGCCCCGTCCCGGGCCAATCACTCTGCAACCCTGGCGGCACACACCAAGCTAACGTCCGGGTCTCCTACCCCTCCCCCTCCATCCCTCCTTGCATCATCCGCCAACGGCACCCCTCCTCGCCCGTCACAAACTGCTGGTGCCCCCGGTATTAAATCCAAAATTCCCTCCCAACGCACCGCGCAGATTGCCCGTCACTTCTCTACCATCTCAAAGGACTCTGACCCAAGTTTCCATCACCAATCGCCCGCAATGGCTTCCCCCTACTCCCTCCGCAAGGTTGGTGCTCCCAACACCCTCGAGCACCGTGTCTACATCGAGAAGGATGGCGTCCCCGTCTCCCCCTTCCACGATATTCCTCTGTACGCCAACCAGGAGCAGACCATCCTGAACATGGTTGTTGAGATCCCCCGCTGGACCAACGCCAAGCTCGAGGTAAGTATTCGATTCCTCCCCTCTATTGTGCCGTGATCGCTATGGTTGCTCTGCCATGAGCATTGTGACACAAGCACGAACAAAACAGGCATGTGACGCTGACCGACAATTCAACCCACAGATCTCCAAGGAGGAGCTCCTCAACCCCATCAAGCAGGACATCAAGAAGGGCAAGCTTCGCTACGTCCGCAACTGCTTCCCCCACAAGGGCTACCTCTGGAACTACGGTGCCTTCCCCCAGGTACGAAGAAAAAATGGCCCCTGAGAAGATATCAGCCTGTGGTCGAGAAAAACAACATCTAACGCTTTGCTCTAGACCTGGGAGGACCCCAACGCCATCCACCCCGAGACCAAGGCCAAGGGTGACAACGACCCGCTCGATGTCTGCGAAATCGGTGAGCTTGTCGGCTACACCGGTCAGGTCAAGCAGGTCAAGGTCCTCGGTGTCATGGCCCTGCTCGACGAGGAGGAGACCGACTGGAAGGTCATCGTTATCGACGTGAACGACCCGCTCGCTCCCAAGCTCAACGACGTTGAGGACGTTGAGCGTCACCTGCCCGGCCTTCTCCGTGCCACCAACGAGTGGTTCCGCATCTACAAGATCCCCGACGGAAAGCCCGAGAACCAGTTCGCCTTCACCGGCGAGTGCAAGAACAAGAGGTTGGTCATTTCAACCGTGAGACTGTCGTTCTTAGCTAACAAAATACCGCAGTTACGCCATGGACGTCGTCCGTGAGTGCGCCGAGGCTTGGGAGAGACTCATCACCGGCAAGACCCAGGCCGGCAGCGTCTCCACGTAAGTTCCTCATCACGCAATACCTTGGCATAGCAAGCCACCTTTTGTCCGAATACCCTTTACTGACAATCTTGTCTTTAGCGGCAACACCACCGTCCAGCAGTCCCCCGCTCTCATCAGCGCCGGCCAGCTTCCTCCTCTGCCCGCTCACGAGGAGCTTCCCGCCGCCAAGATCGACGCCTCCATCGACAAGTGGTTCTTCATCAGCGGTGCCTCCGCATAAGGGATTCCTCCTCCCTCTTGTGTTTTCTTGAATTGGTAGTACCGGCGGATTGCTTTAGCCAGACGAAAGCTCAGACCATATTTTTTTGCGTCGCTTTGTTAGTAGATGTAGTCGAAAACGGAGTCAGAGCTCGAGGGCCCGAAAGGCGTCAACTAGAATACCAAAAAAAGTTAAAGTACCGTAAAATCTGTGTCATTTGAATCGCTGTTTATGACCCAAGTCATGAGCTTCTTGTGATGTCCATATTTTCTATTCGTAGGAGTTGATTCAGTTCC